CCTCCAACTTGTTCTCTTTGGTAATTTTCAGATCTCATAGCTTAATATAGGTCACAGAAGTTGATTTTATACAGTCTCAGGGAAACTTTTCTGATAAAAATAACCAAGGTCAGGTGCTAGGTTTATAGTGGGCTTCTTGTGTTCTTTTTGTAATTGCTTTCTGGACCATGAGGGAGCTGACATGAATTCTCTGGGACAGTCCACATGCACATCTAAGCTCTGCACCGAGGTCAAGAGGGTACACAGGGAAAAATCTACTTCAGGAAGAAAGATAAGCCCATGCCACTTGGATTTAGTCTGGGAATTTTACTCTCTTGGGTTGGGATGGAGAGCTCAGGGGCAGGTCTTCTTGGCACCCTGGGTTTCATGTCCCATGAAGGTTGATGTGGGGAGAGCAGGACAACACAGGTTCCTCCAAAGCATAAGACCTAGGTCAGGGAGAGCAGGATAACACAGGCTCCTCCAAAGCATAAGACCTAGGTCAGGGGGTCCCTCTTTCCTAGGTCTAAAGCACACAATGTGTCCATCCACATCTTAATCCGATGGCATTTTAAGAAATAGGTATTTGAGCTATGTAGGGTAGTATACCCCTATAATCCTAGTACTTAGGAAGTTGGGGCAAAAGGAGCTGAGTTCCAGGCCTGTCTGAACTAATTACTGAGTTCTAACTTCTAGGCCACCCTAGGATATGTAACAAGACCTTGCCTCAAGAAAACAATAGAGGGGCTGGGAAGGTGGCTCAGTGGTAGAGTGCTTGCCTTGCATGCATGAGGCCCTGGGTTCGATTCCTAAGCACCACATAAGCAGAAAAAAGCTGGAAGTGGTGCTGTGGCTCAAGTGGTAGAGCACTAGCCTTGAGCTGAAGAGCTGAGGGACAGCAACCAGGCCCAGAGTTCGGGCCCCACGACTGGCAAAAAACAAAAACAAAACAATAGACTAAATAAACATGAGCCTTTCCTTTTTATGGGTCCAGGTATATACATGACTGTATATGTAACAGCAAGAATCCAATATTTCCTAAAGACATCTGAGTGTTACGCTGGAGACAGCCCAGCAAGTCAGGCATCCAATGGATGCTTTAACCTTGAAATCAGTCCCAACTTATCAAATAGGGACAAACTAACCACTTGTCCTTAAGCTATATATTACCTCTAGCTAAAACTATAGTCCACATTCATGATGACTATCCCAAGCTAACTGCTACCAAGAAAAGGCCAACAAATATATTTTATTTATGACAAGAGTAAAAGGCTGGGTGAGGTGGCATACAACTATAATCCTAGCAATGTGGAAGGCAAAGGTAGAAAAAAGCCCAAAGGCTTTTAGTGTCTCTTGAACAGACTACTCTCCACTTCCTGAAAACACACATTTTTCAGTAGCTTATGTCATACAGGAACTGGGAATTAACTTCATCTGTGGAATGGCAGAAGAATCACAAGTTAACTGTCATCTCAACTACCCTGAGAAAAGATCCTTGCTCTCAAAGCCTGATTCAAAGTTTCCTTTCTAGTCTTTCATGTAATTCATGCAGGAATCTATTCCTGCTCAGGGACAGTGCCCAGGCCCTGAGTTCAAGCCCCAGGACTAGCATACACACATAAAGTAATACATATTGGGATGTAAAGGATTATATACTAAGATGATTGAAAAGCTCCCCTATCTGGGAATGGTGATGTAGAACATATTCCAACTAGGTGAAACATCAGGGGTATAAACACTTGCACCTGCCCTCAAAGGGTTAGCTTGTATCTGAGAACACTAGAACACTTTCGGAAAGACACTAAGCATACAAACTAGTACCAATAATCCAAGTAGAAAAATCATGTATTACATATACATATATTTACATAGATTGATAGAAATAACTCATGCATTGTTTCAATGGGAGAATGCTAATTATCTTTGAAGAATATAAAATTTCTTTTATACCAAAACTCAGTGGATTAAACATGTCTTGAAATAAGAAGTAGAATTACAACATGTCACATTTCTGTGTGTCTATGGATTTCTATTCAAGAAAGGAAGTTCACTTCCCACAGTTCATGTATTCAGGAGGCAGCAGAGAAGACTACTGCTCTAAGTATAAGGCACAGAACTTAAGTTCACAGTCTCACATGAGACAAAGTTACAGCGTGTAGCCTAATGTTCATGACCTTGAACAGATACCTGCCAAAGAATCCATCAGCATGATGGTACTTAATGGGCTAACAGTTGAAGGTGTATGTTTTAGTAATTCCTTCAGCTTGGTATTACCAGGTAGCTATGCAGGAATATGAGACAGTTGAATGTATATGTAACTCTCTATTTTTTTATTATAACTCAGTGACTTATTCCTACTGTGTCAATTTATTGATTAAAATATTTCCTAAAGGCTTATCAAAATAAATAAGGCTGAGTAAGATGCCAGCAAATGGCTTCAAGTGACTTACAGCTTGTAAATACAATGCTAAAGTAACTACAGACAAAACAGAAAGCAATATTATCAAAAACATTATTCTAGAAACTTGGAGGCAGGAAAGAGGAATCGATTCCTGCATGAAGGACTAGAAAGGGAACTTTGAGTCAGGCTTTGAGAGCAAGGATCCTTTCTCAGTGTAGTTGAGATGACAGTTAACTTGTGATTCTTCTGCCATTCCACAGATGAAGTTAATTCCCAGTTCCTGTATGACATAAGCTACTGAAAAATGTGTATTTTCAGGAAGTGGAGTGTAGTCTCTTCAAGAGACACTAAAAATACATTCCAGTTCAGTCCAAACAACTGCCGTTCTAAGTTTTCGCATGTGTGTAAATCAAAGCATTACTATATTAAATGGATTTTTTTCCTTTCAGGAGAAAAAGAAAACACATAAAATTTAAAACATGCAGTACCCTATAGGACAGATACTTATTTATTACTATCATAAAATTATGACTATCACTCGTATTCAAATAAAGTCTTTCCCAGCTGTGAACATCTTTTACTTAACATCACCATAGGAAATATAGAACACATAGTACAGACTAGATCCAGAAAAGTCATGTATTGATATTTGTCTTTCCTTTTTCTCTGAAGCTGAAATAATTGTTGTTTATTTTCTTGTTAGAACATTCCAACTTTCAGCAAGAATGGGAATGTTAACTGATGTTGCTCACAGGCTGGGCTATCATTTTTCAAGTTTAACCAGAAAAAAAAAATAATAAAAAAAACGTAGGTTTCTTGTTTTTATTTACGGTTATTAGTGCCTTCTTGGGCATGAGGATTAAAATAAGGTATCCAGCTCAGTGATAGCTTATCTTCCTACAATTAATGTAATCAAAGAGACCAGTTCCTTCATCCCCTTCCCCCTCCACTCTCCTGGATCACAAAGCCTATTCAAGCTTCTCCCCAGGGCCCCAAAACAACATGCAGCAATAACTTCCTAGGGAAGCCCAAAGCCTACCTCACCCTTCCCACTGGGGAAACACACAGACTCAGCCCTTTCTCCTGTGATTATGTAAGAACACAAGGGTTTGCTTCACTCCACCCAAAGCTCAGGCTGATCCTTTAAACATTGACTTGTGCCTTAGAAAGTACTGGTGCATGCTGAGCAGAGAGGAAAAGGGTAAGGATTTATCTTTCAACAATAGCAACACAAACCCCTCTGGAGAAATCCTGATGCCCTGGGTAAAGTCTAAGATGTTGAGAATGTGAAGAGCTTTCCTTGTGTTGGCTGTAGCATTTCTATTTTGGTTAGGGGTACGGAGAAGGACAGAAGGACAGGGATAACAGAATGTATGGCCCCACCAAGGCAAGTAAGTTACTTATAGAATTTCTAACTTGTCTCCTGAATTTCTACTTCTCAGCTGAAGCATGACTGGAATTTGGGTACTCTTTTTAAAATTTTTTCTGGTGCCAGAGTTTGAACTCAGGCCCTTAAGTTCTCTTACCCACAGCTGGCCTTTTACCACTTGAACTGTGCCATCACCTTGTAACTAAAATGTGAAGAGACAATTTTTTGTTATGCAGAATGTTAGCCGCCTTACAGCATAGACAGGAAATGCCAGAAGTGTCACTGCATCATTGTCACTGTGAGATCACCATGCACTGCTCAACAATACCCCCTACCCAGGCCAGTGCTGCCCCTGATTTGAGACTCTCTTCAAGGCTCAAGATTCTTTTTCTTTGGGCTCAAGGTGTTTTGAAGGCAACATCTCCATAGTCTTCACCAGTCAATGGGATTCAATGCATCAACCTCCTACTTTGAAAAAAAGAAGTATGGTAGCCCCTTTGCACAACTATTCAAATATTCAAAAAAAAAAAAGTAACATAGCAAAAGGCTCTGGTTGCCTTTTTGTATCAGTGCATGAACTCACTGTAAATAAAATAAAACTTGAAAAAAAGAGTAATTAATACCTAGATTGCTCTTTTTATAGCTGGGGTGCAGAATTTCACAAATATTCTCAGACACAGTGAACGATAAAGGAGAAACAGGAGCTAACCGAAGTCATTAGCTACTATGGTTTGGAATAAGACAACGAACAGGATGTTGTTACTGTCATTCTTTGTTGAAACAGGGCTGTTGGGTTCAATCTTGAACCCAAATGGCAGTGCTAACTATCATTGTCAATTTAATTCCTTCTTTACAGTTGGGACCACAGCTTCATCTGGGTAATGTAGGCAGATCAATGTCCTAACCCTACCCTGACTGTGCTGTGCATTTTCACCTACCATATGTTCCAGCTCTGAAAACAGTAGTTATGGCAAAGCATTTGGAAACTTGTCACTGATTCCCTTCTAGTGGCTAAGATGCAACAGGCTATTTCTGCAATGAGTCCTGTCCACAACAAACCCAGCCCAGATGCATCTGCAGCTGAAAGCAGAATGCTTTCCTCTTATCCATTGCTATATAAAAATGTGCAAAGACATTCAGACTACTATTATCTGAAGCCAGTAATATCATTAGGAGCCGGAAAAGGGGCAGTTTGTCATCCAAAAACAGGAAAAAATGAGTTTAACAAAAGGACAGCACTGTCTTACTCACCACTGAGGTAAGAGCCATCTGAAAACTATAGATTCGGGCAAGGCCAAAGTCGGCTAGCTTTATTTGTCCATTGCTGGTCACCAGAATGTTCTGAGGCTTCAGATCACGATGCACAACTCGGTGAGAATGGAGAAAGTCCAGACCTCGGAGAAGCTGAAACATCATATCCTAAATAAAATAATAAAAATAAACAAAAGAGTAACAAATTAGTAAATACTCAAAACAATTTCAACTGGACTCAAGTTCATAATCGTTGCTGAATCCTCAGTACTTTGCAAAGTTGCTAAGTACTAATTAAATACAGGTCTCCCACTCTCAATAGCACTATAAAAGTTTTTCACTCTCAACTTGGTTTTATTAATGAAGGGTTAATTTAAAGTTCTTTTCAATGCACAGGAAATATTCTGGAGTGACATTTACCAAATTGTTTGTGATGGTTAATGCTGGGGAGAGGAAATAAAAAGAGACCAGAGGGACATGCATTTCTTCATATACTTTTATATTGTTTTAATATGTAATCTTGTGAATATGATTATTATTAACAGTGATCATTTGTTTTTATGGTGCCTAATACTGAGCAATCCCTATGAGTCAAGCCCCATTTTAAGCAGCTTTTGCTTAGTGACTCATTTAATCCACCCCATTAGTAATGCAAGAAGCTGATATGTAGAAGTAGGTTCAATAATGAAACAAATTATTTGTTATTTATTTTTTAATGGTACTGGGGAGAGGGCCAACCTCAGGAGCCTTGCTCTTGAGCTTTGCTATGATTCTCTACCTCCTGTACCTTGGGTCCAGTCAAGAGATACATTCTTGAGTCAAACTGGAATTTAGAAAAACTGGATTCAGATTATTAAGGCATTTCTTTATTAGATCAGGGAAGTAAGTGTGTAAAACAAAGCAAGGCACTTCTCACTTCTCCAAGCCTCAGTGTTTTCTTCTGTAAAAATGGGAAAATAACAAAACTTACTCCATAGATTTTTATTTATGCAACATTTAGGATAGCAGTCAGAAATAAATGATAGCTACTGTTGGTATTATACATTAAGTAGGCATCAAAGAGGAGGGTACAAGGAAAATAAACCACTGTCAGGTACTTTTCTAATTTTAGGCCTCAAAAATTAAGACACAAAATGTAAAACTCAGAAATAATCTCTGAAAGGAGGAACTTAAGATACTGACCGTGACATCATTGCCTGTGACATCATGGCCCTCTAAAATTCAGAATTACTAGGAGTGACTTTCTTCCCTCCCAAAATTGTGAAAATGGTATATATGAGGAGGTGGGCAGGAGAGAATAAACCTATTTTCTTCATACAAGAAAAATAACTGGATATCCAGGGCAGAAGAGACTGTGAGAAAAAAAAAACATGTTTATGAGATGCACCAGTAAACCAGTTTACCAAGAACAACATAGTATTTCCTTACTGGTTCACTCCTTTGGTTCTCTCTGTTTCAGGTCCTAGCTTGTTTAAAACTGCAGCTTTGGTTTTCCTCATCAATCAATGGGAGAAGACAGCGTTTACTTTTCCTAGTTACCAGAGTTTAAATGGAGTAATGTATGCTGAGCAGAAGTGCATTGTCTGGCGAACACTGAACAGATGGTAATTATTAGGGTGATCACTGCCATGATAGGCGTCCTGTTTCCTGGGGGAAACAGATTCATAAACAACTGGAAGAAAATGCAGCCACTACGCTAAAGTCCATGTGAACCAAGAGCTAAAACAACATCATGCGATAACAACACGGCACAGGTATATGAGAATCTTGAGACCTGCTCCATGGGCATCCTGAGCTGATAAGGGTTTCCTTCAAAAGAAACCCATTCATGCCAGCTACGAATACCCTGAAGGAGAACTGCATGGGCCAGGGAACCAGTGTAGGTCCAACAACTGGAAATGAGCAAAATAGAGTGTGAAAATGAAGCACAGAGTAAAAAAAACATCATCTGCTGCTGTGGCAAATACATCGTTATTGGAAACATAAGCACACATGTTGTAAGCACTGGATTTTTTAAAAAAAGTATGACTAACTTAAAGTAATGTCATGCTGGCTCATCATCTCTAGCTTCTTATACACTAAGCACACCAAGAAGATAAGAATCTGCTTGCTTCGTGCCACAGTGCTCAAACAATTTAAGCTGACAATTAGCAATATAAAAATAATTTAAATCTCAATTACTAAAGTCCTAATCTGAATTTATAAAAAACCTGAATCAAGGGTCAAACAAGTGTGTGTTGCTTCTGTGTATTTATTTAGATAGCAAAGACTCTGTATTTTCTTAATTATAAAACTGATAAAATGAATACATACAAGCCTACAGCAAAACCCTGTAAATCAGGAGTAAAAGAAAATCATTCAAAAGCTTACTGCTTAAGAGAACAGAGAAAACTTCACTGCTAAGTAAGAATTTTATAGGTCTCTTTCATCTTAAAAAATCATATATATTACCATATTTGTACAGATAACTAAAATGTATATTTAGGTAAAAATGATAACTTTATATATTTTATTTTGTGGTTTTTTAAAAAAGTTTCCAGTTTTCTGTGAATATTTTCCCATCTACATGTCTTCAACACTTTAACTATTTCATGAAATGTGATTTTTAATAGCTGCATAGGTTTTCCTCCTTGTGCTATTATTAGTTGTGTTATTTTGGCGTTTAGACTATGGGTCTAGTTGTTCTTTGCTTAAATGCCAGAATAAATTAAAGTGACTTTGTTAATATCACTCCAAGCACAGGATAAGCAGTCTGAATCCATATGAAGGCATTAACACTGATTTCAAGTTTTGTGCCTAGAAGATAAATTAGTTCTAAGTAAGAATTATCATTCTGAATTTTAGTCACACGTAAGAATGGGGCTTGGCAGACCCCAAGAAACATAGGTCCCATGGTTTCCCTTATCTGCAATAACTACTATTCGTCTAGGATAATCTTACCAGACAAACAGAAGAGGTCAAAAGCTATGTACATATGACCATATAAGATGATGCTAAGCAAAATGAACTCTAAGATATGGACAAGAGGTTTTTTTCTTTGTTGCTGTTGTTTTTAATGTACTATGTGATTTTTTTTGTATGTTCTTCCCTCAATGGTATAATCCCTGTTGTCACTGTATTTGATTCTGGTGCCCTGCATCTGGTATATACATTTTTCTAATTTGGGGAAGTGAAGGGAAATAACAAAATGCTGAAACAAGGATACAGCTTTATCCATTGTAGCAATGAGATGTACAACACATTATGTTGAAAATGAACTTTACAACTGGGAGGGGGGGAGGGGAGTTGGGTAGGGAAGTGATAGTAGGGGAAAAACAAAGGAGGGTTGGTAACAATGCTTGATAGGAAATGTACTCATTACCTTACTCATGTAACTGTAACCCCTCTGTACAATATCTTTACAATTAAAAAAAAAAGAATGGGGCTTGGTTCCAATTCTAGATAACAATATGAATGAATACTAAGGAAGGAAAAAACCCCTTTTGCTTCTTAGAAATGTTTCGATCTAGGACATTTCAAAGGATTCTCTACCTAAGCTTATTATCTGTTCTATCTCAGTTTACAGTATCATGAGACATACCTTTACATCAGCTTCTCAAGATTTTAATCTAAATTAATCTTTCCTATAAAAGACTTAAAATATTTCCCTGTAACTCAAGTGAAGCAATGCAATGAAACTAGGGATACTGCCAAGTAAAGCTCTTTAAGTTAAACACAGGTTTAAAAGTTTCCCCTATTATGTTACAAAGCACAGTTCTGGTACAAAGGGTTTCAGCATCTAGTCATACTTGTGGTTGGTAGTCACTTTGGACCTTTACTTATCTTTCTAAATCACATGACCTTGGAAGCAGGTTTCAACAGGACAGTAAGGTGGAATGAAGTCTGGCTCAGGGTGACTTTAGGTGGAACACTGCTCTTGGCAACTCCCTGCCAAAGATTTTGGGCTTTTGTGTCTGCATACTAGAAATGTTTAGAAGTCTATCATTGTTTCTACGTGTTCCAGAACTCTCATCCTCTTACTTCTTTAATCAAAATACACAAACTAGAAAGTGACCTCAAGCTTTTTGTGGTATCTGTACTAGGGCTTGAACTCAAGGTCTAGATGCTTGTCACTTAGCTTATGTTTTTGTTTTTCCCTCAAGATTCTACCACTTGAACCACAGTTCCGCTTTGGGTTTTTTGCTGGTATGAAATTCTCATGGACTTTTCCTGCTCAGGCTAGATTCAAACTGTGATCATCATATCTCAGCCTTCAGAGGAGACAGGATTACAAGCATGAGCCGCCAACCCTTGGCTTTAAGCTTTCTAATGGGGAAAATATTATATATATATATATATATATATATATATAGTTATATAATATGTAATGGATAATGTATTATTATATATTCTAGCCACAAACACTAAACACCCAAAAATATTGTACAGAAAATCTCAGAAATGGCAGCTTAAAAATAACAATTATGGATATTTGGATATATCTAGCTAATCTGTGTAAGATATTCACATCCTCCAAGTTTTAATTTCAAAAGTATGTAATAGTTCATTTAAAACTTTTAGAAACATATACAACTTGTAGAATTTTCTCCTTATAATTTCTCCTGCAAATCTTTTCAAGTCTGTTATCAAAACTTTTACAGAGCTGGGTATGGTGGTATACATCTACAATTCCAGCATTTGGGTAGCTAAAAGAGGCAGATCACAAGATTGAAAATAAATCTGGGATGTATAACAAGTCTTTGTCTCAAAAAAAAAAAGAAAGAAAGAAATTTGTTCAGAGCAGTATCTCCATACTGTTTTGTTTGTTTCCCAAGAAAGAGGTTAAAAGAGTTAAAGGAGTCTATGACCTAAAATCTGTAAGAGGTTTTGTTTTACACTGAACTGATAACATCTTAAATTAAGGAAGATGTTATGATTAAAGGAAGAGAGGTAAAAGTCACCTGAGCCAAGTAATAAATGATGATGGTGAAATCATAGAGAAGCAGAGGCTACTGAGAGTAACAACAGCTAGTCCCAGAGTGTTTTTTCCTTACTATTGATACATATACTTTTACTGAGTATATCCACATTATTATATAACAGGTCGCTAGGATTTTTTCATGTTACAAAACTGGATCTCTCTGTCCTCTGAATCATGATCTTCTATTTCCCCTTCCCCTCTACCCCTG